GAAAATTCGGTAGCACACCCCTTGACGACGCAGGCCCTGATGCAGTATGGGCAACATGGTGTTGAGTTGCCGGTGTCGATTGCGAAAGGGGATGACAACCGCGAGGCCGGACTGTTGGGTGCAATTGCTGTTGCCAACGCTGAGGGGGCTCCAGAGACCGCCGGGATACAGTCCGCTCCAAGTCGTATTTGAATGGAAGGAGGGTCGAGCTGTGATCAGCGGAACAGGCGGCCTCAGTTCCAGCGGATCCGTTGCGTTCATTTTCATTGGAACACTTGCACTGCTGGACATACAGAACGTCGGACAGGTCTCCAACCTCATGTTCAGACGGTGGTATTCCTCGAGGTAGGTGAGCAGTCGTTTACGCTCTGGCATTACTCGTGCCAACTTCACAAAGTTGAAGCTTTGTCTGGTGTTGGCAAAGCTTGCCTTCAAAGCGCCCAAGTGACTGAGGATGTAGAGCAAACAGAAGAGGGAGACGGGGAGAACAAGCCATTTGGTGACCTGTCGTAGAGTCAATGTGCCTAACCCGCAAGGTGCATAATCGAAGAAGCCAGGGGAACAAGGCATGGCCTTGGTGATGGGCCAATGGAAACAGGCGGTCTACGAGGATGCCTCGACTACGCACTGATCAAGCCTATTCCAGACAGGACAAGCGATTTTTTCAATGGGAATGTCAGCTTTGTAGGTTGAAGTAAATGGCCATTTATATATCCATTTCTTGCGTAGACCAAGACATGCAATGGTCATATCGTCTCGGAAGAGACAAATTTGTTCATAGATTTGACTGTCTGTGTGCGCGAGAAACATAATAGCAAATGTGACATGTGAGAAGAACTCATTCATAAAAAAAGGCAAGTAAGGGTGAGTTGCATGGCCTGAAAGTGAATTCCAGTCTGTTCAGGTAAACAGAAAAGACATCAGATGCGTAGAAAAATAGTCATGTTCGAGGACATTCCAGTTCGTTTGAAGCGATGAATGGAAAAGACGAGTAAGTTGGCCTCGCCGGAAGCTGTAGGTAGATTGCCTTGGAGCCGTGATTGTAGATTTGTGCTCGGCTCACCGCCCTTCGACCCCGATCTATCATCCCATGCTTAACGACAATTCACCAAAAAAAGTGTACTGCTCTGACTACGTCCGTCACATGACTAAGTCCTAGTGGCCGCGGGACGGTGCGCCGAAGAGATATTTGCACAAATATACAATCACAGCTCCAAGGCAACCCCTCCACAGATTCAGGGAAGAATAACTATCCTCTTCTTAAAAGGAATGAAAGGTAAGCCAACAAGAAAAGAATCCGACCGCAGTTGCTACCGCCACTGGCTGAGGCGGAACTTCTCACCAAACCGAGCCAACTGGACCGGGTCAGTCCAACGAGCTCACTCGTCGTCGAGGCTACGAGGTGAGCGATAAACGTCTTTTCAGACAGTGTATACACCATCTTGTATTTCAGCCCTATTGTCGTGGTGACTTGGATTTCATGAGAAAACGCCTCTCGGCCGAACTCACCGGCACACGACGATTGGCTCCTGTTGTGCTCGAGTCGTTCTCGTCCACGTTCCAGTGGACTGCAGTTTCGAACTGGCGTCAACCGGTCTTATCAACACCCCCAGAGGGAGTAGAACCGTGACAGTGCAACTTGCCAACATGACACGTTGACAACTCGGCCACATCGCAACGAGTGCCCTTGGGTCAAAGGGCAGAGGCCAATTTCAAGGAAAGCCAGGTTTTTTTCCCATTCTTTGGTGGGATTGTCGATGAAGCAAACGTATTTTTGCTGTGACAATCGACTGAATTACTTATTTTTCGTATATAAGTAGAGTTTCGAGACTACCGGTAAATCAGTTATAAGAAATGTATTCACCCTTCTACTACCAGTCCTTCATCACCTTAAAAGCAATAGAGTGAATACATTTCCTATTACTGATTTACTGGCAGTCTCGACACTTTACTTATATACAAATAGAAGACGCTAATAGAGGTTGTTTGACCTTGTTTTCGCAACGTGGTCATATTGGTAGGAAGACTTAAAGGAATACACCTAGTCCGCAAGTTGAACCGTTGACGTGGTACATTCCCAGACGTTTCGCCGGCATCGTCAGTGAGTATCGCCATCTTTAGACCACACAAAACAACTCGTCAAAGAGACAAGTGAAGCCGATCCTTTGACCAAACGTGTGCTAAACAATTGTGGTATCTCCGCTTCTGCCCTGGGCTATTCGCGTTTCCTGTATCATCCTTTTATACCTTCACTATTACCGTATTTCCCCATGTATAAGCCACCCCTTTTTCCCAAAATTTCCAAGCCCAAAAAGTAGGGCGGTGGCATGTATAAAGCAGGTACACGTTTTATGCTTGAAAAATGCATAAAATAATAAAGTAGGAATCAACTGGTTTTTCAGCAGTATGTTGTACTTTTTTGTAAAAAATTGTAAGTGATGATGAATATTAGAAGACGATGATGTCCGGCGGCATTAAAATAAAAAACAACAACGAATATATCTCTTTATTACTCTTAATCCGATGACACAAGTGAAGTGCGAGTACGCGATAGAAATGCATGCGAGGAATGTGAGGCGGTTGTCACTATACCTGATGCACCAGGCAGTGATGATGAATGTATGAGCGATTATTATGAGTCTTGAATTTTGGTTGTTTGTAAAATTTCTTTCTTTGTAACTTGTTTCACTAATAAAATATTTTTTCAAAACTTCACAGTCAAAAAATTGGGGGGCGGCTTATAAAAAGGGGGTGCTTAGGCATGGAGAAATACGGTATTTGGATAAAGTGTGGTGTCTCCTTTGAGTGACATGAAACCTTCACACTCCAACTGTTGTTCTCACCCCCACCCCCTCTTCATCCTTGTGCAAGGAATGTTAATCAGAGTCTGCTTTATTATTATGCAGACCTCCTTCCTAGTCGTATCCCAGTTTCCCTCTTGCCCCGTAAGATCCGTCTACTCTCTCCCTTGTTCACATATTTCACTCGACCCCTGCCACCCCATCTGTGCCACTCGAGGCGTTATTCACCCTCCCCTGCATCCGGGTGACTAATTCGAGACGCAACCTTCTGAGTGTCATGGTCACCACTTTGCTACATGTACCCCGTCTTTGGTACAACAGACCGACCGTCAGCCTATCCTGTTTCTATCCCTAATACCAAGTCTATGATTTGCCATGCCTCAGCCTCTTGTGTGCCGACCCACAAATGTTGTGGTACAGCTTGTTTTGATTTGGTTCAGTATACAACGAAAGGAGACTGCGACCACACAAAAAGCCATACCATCTTGCTCTACATACCTTCAAG